GTAATAGATTATTCTAGCATCATCTGTATGGCGTAAAGTGCGCTATTATTATTTACCTTTGTTCTAGCTTTTCTATTGTCAGCTGAATTGTTTGGTAGGAGTTGATGCTGGTCTCTTTGTCTGGAGGTTGGTTTTAATGGCTACTCAGGGTGTTTTGTCTTAGTCTGGATTTCCGATTATAGGGTAGGATGTCATGGGATATGGATTTTTTAACAACAAAGAGGACTCTACACTAGAATCTTACAAATGAATATAGACTTTGATTGGAATAAGGTAATTAGGGTTGCTCTTGCAACCGATCCTACACTCAACGTCTATTTGGACAGATGATTAAGAAGAATCCAGCAGCTTCGCGATGATTTAGAGCTTTATTAAATATAACTGCTTTTATAAGTATGTCAATTAAGTAGAGTATCAATTAATAAGTTGTATCTTAATGAACTAGCTACTCAATGACATCAAACTCTCAGAAAACATATTAACTAGGTGATTATTCATGGAATTACTAATTAAAGGAATAAGTCCTCATCTAAGCAACAGATAATTAACTCTGTCCATTCAGCCAGCTCAAATTAATATGCGCTCTAAATCCAACTATCGATACATCCAAACATTAATTGTATATTCTGCATCAAAACAGAAAATCGGATCAGTTTCTATGTATGAAGTGTAGGTGGACTGTAGTCAGGTAGAAAACTATGGGGTGTAAGAAAATTGTATAGATTGCCGAAAATGCTAATTCTTTACCTCGTTCAATGCAATGCAGTTCTTTTCTCTATTTCTATACAGTTCCAGAAGAGTGAGTTTTATAAGCTTTTTCAGCACATTGTTGAGACAAGCCTCAAGGGAATGATTTTTCCGTTTCTCGTGTTTGTTTATTTTGTATGGATCGTAAAAAAGAGAAACTTTTACCATAGACTGTAGAGATATTTTTATGGAACGATCCTATATGCATGTTATCTTCCTCCCTATTTCAGTATTCTCATTCCGGTCATTTTTTGCAATTTTGAAAATGTACAGAAGCAATTTTATGCAAATATTTGCCGAAGCTCTTTCTAAATAGTTTTCAGAATTGGCAACGAAAATACATGAAAATCAAATGAACTTCGATGAAGAGTTCCCCAAAAAACATAAAAAATAAAACGGCTCGTTTGTGGATACAGATGAACATTCTTTTTAATTTCATTTATAATTCTATTATAAAAACTTTTCATCTGGCTTTATTTGATGCAGACATTGTGCTTTGAGCATTGAACACATCAAAGACAATACTTATCGGCTTGCAAATTGGCTTTTAATGCTGTTTTGTGCAGTTTATAGATAAAATTGAACTTTATTTTAATCCACAAAAGATCCAGAATGAGCAAAACTGAGTCTAGGCAGCTTTTTTTGACCAGATTTGATTATTCATGATCCAAAAAAGATCCAGAAATTCAAGATTGAGTTGAGTCTGTTTAATGTGAAAAGATTTGATTATTCATGATCCAAAAAAGATCCAGAAATTCAAGATTGAGTTGAGTCTGTTTTATGTGACCAGATTTGATTATTCATGATCCAAAAAAGATCCAGAAAATTCAAGATTAAGTTGAGTTTGTTTTTTTTGACCGGAATTGGGTATTGATGATCCACAAAAGATCCAATATATTGAAAACTGAGTTTAAGTGGCTATTTTTGACCAGAATTTTATTATTTATGATTCAGAATAATCAAAGAATACCCAAAACTTGTATTTTATATTAAATTCCCTTTGTTGTGCCATAAATACATTAGTAAGTCACAAATTGAACGCATGAACAAATTTTTCAATAAAAATTTTTAATTAATTTTATTTCGATTACGAAACAATAAAAAACCACGAATAAAGCACCATATGGACATCAATGGCTATTCAATTTAATTAACCGTCTTTTATTCGTGAACAATTGATGAAGGGGATATTGAATAAGAGCAATAACCCTTCCGTCATTTTCATTGTCCGTCATAACATTTTATATGCTTTCATGCAATAAATTTTCCATTTATCAATATTTATTTTGATGGTTGATAGACGACATGATGATGTATTTTTGATTGTTCATAGATGGATGTGATGTGAAAGGATGTTTAATGGAATAAATAACCTTTGGTTCTTGAGTTTAAAGAGTTGGTTTTGTAGTGTTCAGAAGGAGATATAAATTTGGATTTTAAGGTTAGATCGCATCTGGACATCGGTGTGTTATGAATCAACCATATCTTCAACATCTGTCTTTGGCTAAAATGACTGTTGATATTCTAATTTAATATGTTTCAATTTCGATTCCTGTTCGCATAAGTTTCAAAGATTAAGCATTAAACGCGAACAAAGTTCTTCTAAACTTAACTTCAAAGCTATTGCTGCACTTCCAGTTCATAAAACCTCCACTCCATGTCTAACTTAATTGACGAATTCCACTCACAAAAGTCATTATAATTCTTGCTAGAACTTAAACACAAATTTTACATCCAACAACAAAGAACAATACTTGCTACAAAATTTCATAGTGCATATCTGCTCCGTACGAATGACAGCTTTCTTTTCATCCATAATATTAAATTTTAATAGCATAAATGTTTCTTTGTACTTATTATCGACACAATAGAATATAATCTCAGCATCGTAATTGAAAATTTCAATAACATTGAGGCGAACTAAATTGAATTTATTTTATTTTGAAGTTCTTATTGTCAGCTTTCTTATTCACTTACTGACTTACTTACTTGCTCATTGTTGGTAATGCTGACAATAATAAAATGTGATTACTACGTCGATTATTACAATCAGCACTTCTTTTTCTTCTTGATAATATCATTTTGAAGATTCTTTAATCTATTCTTCAATTTGGAATCTTCGCGTGCTCTTTTTTCATCTTCAAAACTTGTTTTTCTGGATTAGTTGAAATTAATTGACAGCAGATTCTGTTTTTCGTGAATTTAATCCAATTCTAGGAATGAATTAGTCACTCACTAGCTTGTTTATTAAGGGATAAAGATAAGATGTATTACTTTGAATCAAATTTGAAAAGAATGAATTTATCAAGAATTTTCATTTTTTGCTGTAGGTAGTTTGTTTATAGCTTTGAATTTGAAAAATTGAAAACATATGGGAATATTGATTATCAACAAAGTTTTTCTCCATGCACTTCTAGTCATTCTTAGTTGATTCTTACAGTTTTACGGAAGATTTTAATTGAATCGGTTCATTTTTTGAAAGTTTAAAATTTTGTCTTTGTTTGGTTCTGGATTAAATCTGAACTTTATCAAAGTGCCTTTAACTCAAACGACTATTCTATAAGCCATAAATAAATATTTTATATTAAGCAACGAATTCTCATCTATCTCACATGTCAAGTATCTATCAATTGCCATCGAACAAACAGAAATTCCAATTTCTATACATCCAATCAATAATTTCAAAATACCTCAAATTCGATTATTATTTTTCTCTTGTGTTAAGAAATGCGGCCCTTACTGAACTTTAGATCAAAAATTTTGTTCGTCGCTGTCACCATAATCAAGTTATCAGACAAAAGAATCTGATGATTATTAATGCTATTTCCATAGACAAAATGTGTGAATGTTTGTGTGTCGGGTACCTCCCGCATTTAATCATTAAACATGTGCTGTCATTGAGACAAATGTGACGTGATATAGTTCAATCATATATAGCCGGGTAATTTGTCTAATATGTTGGAATTTCTGTCTTCGTTTGCTGCTTTCTAAAAAAAAGATTTTGTTTACACTGTTCATTAATTTAATACGTTATTGGGGTTGTAGATGAATTGATTAGACGCGATGATGGACATAAAATATCATGAATTATAGCAATGACTTTGATGAAAAACGAATGAAACGAGTTCGTCTTAAGGCTATGCAATTTAGTGTCATTTTAATTAATTAAGCATTAAAGAAAATGTTACGGAACCAGCATAAAAAGACCACATGGCACGAATGAACAATGATGATCCAAATTGACATTAATTGCAAAATTCTTATTCTTGTGCACGACCCTTCTCCGTCATTCTTTATGCTTTGCCTTTTTTTTCTTTCCTTATCTTAGTTATTTGATCGTGGTTAGCTGGGTTTTTTGCAGTTTGAGGGGTTGAATAGCTGGATATTGTCTGTTCGTTGATGCAATGATAAAGAGTTCTGTGGGTAAAGTATGGGACGACTTTATTGTAGCTTGGATAAGCTAAATAGAATCTAGTTTGGTAAAGGCAAGCTCTCAGGTAGGTCGAATACAGTTCAAAAGCAATCAATGAGCTTGAGTACTTAATACGTAGATTGTAGGAAGTTAAATCGACATTAGATAGTTTGACACTCAATAGGGCCAAAGATTGTATAGGAACACTTATTACGGTTAAGTGTGGTAGTCAATTTTGAATGAAAACCAAAAAATGCGCTTTATGCACTCAAACCCAAAAATTTCCAACTTGCCTCACTCTTCTGACTTTATTTCAATTTCTTGCTTTCATTATCTGACCATTTTTGTTATATTGTTACTCAATTTAAGGTTTTTATAATTTATTTTTATTTTCTTCTTTAACCGGCCTATAAATATTTTACAACCACCATGAATATCCATCCACAACTACAACGATAATCATCATGATCATTACACTTCAACACATTAGATGACAATAATTTAATAAATTGAAATTTGTGTGTGACTTATCGTCTCACATTATTAGTTAATTTCATTCTTCTTTTCTCGTTAAAGATGTGAAGAACGATGAGAAAATTTTCAATTTTTATCCCATCTGCCTTCATCAGTCATCAGTTGATTTTATGAGAGTTCGGATCATCTTATGGATGACAGTATGATGATGCATAATTTGTGGATTAAAAAGGACATGATCAATTGAATTATTGGAAAATGACGTGCAAATTGTGATGAGTTTGAGGTGAAAATTAAGGAAAAAAAGGAAAAAAGTAAAATTTTTGCAAAAAAAATTGAAAAATAAAAAATAAAATTACTGTAAAAAGAAAATTAATTTGCAAAATTGAAACAAAATCAATAAAAATTGCAAATTTAATTAAAATTATAAAAGTGAAAAAATTTGCAAAACTTTAAAACATTTTATAACCTAAAATTCAATGCAATTTAGTGAACTTAATAATATTCAGTGAATATACTATCTCAAAATCTTTAAAATACCATTAAAAACTTAAATGCTCAAATCTTAGATTGCAAATAATCGTAAAAATGTAATTCAGTCAATTTATTCAAATTCATCAATTAGTGCAAAAACTCTCAACAAATAAAACATCGATCTTAAAGAGTCAAGTGATAAATTGTGAATAATTAATAAAGAAAAGAATTATTAAATTTAAAAAAAAATTATGAAAAGTTCCAGTTTAAAGAAGTGCCTTACAGGCGTACTGCCTATTATTTTAATTTTAATTAGTGATAATACTATAGAAGCAGATGTACATTTTAAAAGTCATCCAACAACGGCAAAGGTTTATGAAAGTGATTCTGTTCTCTTGCCTTGTTATTCAACAGGTAAGAAAGTTTTGAGAGTTTTGGATATAACCTGTGGTAGGCAAAGAGATTATAAAATCAGTTAAAGCTTTAAAGATTTGAATTTGAATTTTTAAACATTTCGGGCAGTAAAATTTAATTTCAGGAAAAACGTTATTTGATCATAATTTGTTTTGTTGTTTTTAAGTCATTTTGCTATTAAATAATATAGAACTTAGTTTATTTCATAGCCTTTTTGGATCAATAAACATTTTGATATTGAAAAAATTAGCATTAAGTAGCTTAATCCACTAGACTTTGGGATTTCTCAAAATATCTTTTTCCTTCGTCATGTTTGTTTACACTTTGACGAATAATATTTGAAAAAGATAACGCGAAATTTTATCAAAACCAGATGAAATATTGAATCCATAAATAGTTTAAAACAAAGAATGTGTATCTATTTTATGTTTTAAATAGTAATCTGTAAGAAAACACAAGGATTTTAGCTGAAAATTAACAAAATTTTCTGATTGGCTAAAATTCATAACGGATTAAGTTCTAAAAATAAGGACTACTTAAAAAAGTACTAAATCTAATTGTTCTAAGAATATGTGAATAATGTTTTTGAATAGAATTAATAAGTAGGAGAGTCTGAATAGGTTGGTCCTTGTCATCGGTACCGAAAAATGTGAGGTTAAAGCTGAGTTTATTTTTAATCTATTTCCAGTGCCAAAAAACCTTTTTTACTAGTATTTAATGATTTTCTAGTAGCCCTAACCGGTGTGGGGGGAAGAATTAAGAAAAAATTCACTTCATTTCGTGAAAAGAACAGTTGAAAATACTTTTTTCGAGTATTAAATTGTGTAATTTAACTCAAAACTCCTCAAAATACACAACATCATGTAGCTTCACTCAATTAATGTTTCAGAAAACCACATAATTTATTTTTCCGGTTGAAAAACTCATTTAACTTTGCTAAAATCTCATAAAACTTTTTCCGAACTTAACGAGTTTGAAAAATTACACAAAACTACAATCCATCAATGACATAAACAGTAATTTACAATATTATTTCAAATTTTACAAGTTATTCGTAATTTTACAACTAAAAAATTGTGCTTACTCATTCAACATACTGGAAGTAATTCATCATAAAAATATTTATCTGCTAATGACTGAAACATTTTGAAAATAAATATTTACTTTATATTCCGAGGGAAAGATGCTACAGAAAATAATGAAAAGATGCTTGTGGAGTTAAAGGTACTTCCTCAACGGCCATCAATAAACAAAGAATTCTACATTTATGTCAGAATTATTTCCTTGGATCTTGAAATTTCACGCTATTTTTCATTAGACGACATACGAGGAACTTAATCATGAAAAATTATATCCGAGAGCTTAGAAAAAAAAGGAATAAACTTTTTTTGATGGAATTTTTTTCCCTCTTTTTCCATATTCTAATGGCATGTTTATGTAAAGTACTCAAAACATTGAAATATATGGGCAATTCTACAGATAACCTTTTGGAAATTTTTACATAAAATTTCAAATATTTCTTATTTTTTGGTCTAAAGTTCCTTCAAAGTTATTCTTAGTTGACGAGAAAAGTTAAAATCTTCAATTTAATACATTCAATACAGTCTAAAATACATTAATTAAAGAGAAATTTGAATTCTTCTTCTTCATCTAAATCTGATGACTTTGCATATATGTTAGAATTCCAATAATATTATTAAATTTATCTTTACAAAAAAAAAGTAGAGAAGGAATTATTACTGAAATTTTAGAAATTTAACTCTTCTATCTAGAATTGCCCATATGTGTAATGTTTGAGCTGGAACAATATTCTCTTCTAGGAAATGCTAGGAAAAAATGAGCAGCTTAGAGAAAGTGACAGTTGCTGATTCTGATATGTCGCGCTTTTCCTTAATTGATTGTAATTTATTTCAGTAAATACCTGAAGCTTAGTGTTGAGATTTGATGTAAATTTGAAGTTGTTTTGCCAAAATTGAATATTGTGAATTTCTTGAAAATCTGTTGAATTTCAAACTAACCTTAATAACTATTGGCTTCTTAATGCTATTCTATTCGTATTTGACACTCATTTAGTCATTAAAAGCACTCACTTACTTAAGAAAATCGTAAATTTCTGATTTTTAAATTCAAAGTTTACCTTTCTTTTGTCAATCTTTTCGATTCAATTAATGCGAAAATTCAAATCTTAAATTTCCGTGACAATTGTTTGAAGCCCAAAGTGATTCCACAAAACCTTAATTTCAAGAATATCAAGTCAAAAGCAAGCTAAAATGAAAGGACAAGAAAATTTTAACATGTTTTTGTAGTATCCGCACGTACATGCATTGTTATTTCTACTTAAATTTTAGCACATTTTTTTTCCTTCCTCTTCGGGTACATCAAGGAAATTAAAGTTCAAAACTTTGTGAAATATGCTCGAAAGAGGAAGAAAGAGCTGCTCTTTTTTATCATATAAAATATATGTCAGTAAAATGTGTATAATTTTGAAAAATTATCTTCTTTATGGAACGCAATAAGTCGTTCTGCCTTTTTGTCTGGGAATGAAATGTTTGGGATTGATATTTATGCGGGTACGGTTAAGATACCTTTAATTTTTCATATTTTACCCAGATTAGTTTTTTGTTCATATCATGAAATGCGCTCAAAACCACAAATCAAGCCACTATTTTTTAACATTCTATCTCGCCCTAAATAGAACGCCACACAAGAGTCAGATGGTTTGATGATGATAATAATGTAATAGCAGATAGCCAATTGCCACAGCTACAAGAACAATATGACAGAGTGCTACATTCAAATGGATCTCTTGAAGTGATAAATGTTCAGCTAAATGACACTGGCAATTACATATGTGAAGTCACAATCGGATACAAAGTGTTTAAGCAAGTGAATGCAATTGAAGTTCAAGGTAATTTAATTAAAATAAAGCTACATCTGAACATCATGCAGTTTTTCTATCTATATATTCAGTTCCGCCTGAAGTCATCACATATCCAGCCGGATTTATGAATATTACATTAGGTGGCATTTTTCAAATAACGTGTGAGGCTAAGGGGGTGCCATATCCAATTATATCATGGCGTCACAACAATCAGAAAGTTACAAATACAGATGACAGCAACAGAAGACTAACCGTAGAAGTAAAACATTATGACATGGCTGGCAATATTGAATGTGTAGCTGATAACGGCGTGGGCGAGCCAGCATCTAATGGTCTTGTTCTTCTTGTACAGTGTGAGATGAATTTTACCACATCCATATTTCTGTAATCTTTTTCATTGAATAACTTTTTGTTCTTTCCACACAGTTGCACCGGAAGTTATTGTCAAAAATCCTATTGTGCATACTAAGGTTGGATTACAAGGAAAAATTGAATGCATTGTCTTCTCTCATCCAACTGCACAAATTCATTGGTTTTTTGAGGGAAAGCCAGTTGTAAAAATGAACAACCTTTTTAGTGCATATGAGAATGATTTGGTGAGTGGGGTTTTTGTGGTTTGTTGGCTGTTCTATGTGACAGTAACTGAAGATTGAGAATGTGGCGTTAAATTGGAAGAGTTTGTCAATCTTAAAATGATTTGAATTTGGAATCGACTTGTTTTGTTTAATTTACGTACGCAAAACGTAACAACATTAAGATTTGTCAAATTCAACAAAATATTAGTTCCATTAGCAAGCTATAGCTTCATAAAGCACAGCCAACAAATCCAATCAAAAAGTTTGTGTAAAATTCACCACAAGGATCTCGATTACATAAAGGAAGACGACCAACTAGTCTTAATACCGCAAAGATTCTTTCAATAACTTTTGTGTCTTTCCATCTTCTTTGTAAACTTTTCTAATTAGACTGTCACAGAAGCTCTGCCATCATATTATTCAAAGAAACGACATGTGCTTACAATCCGTAGTGTACGAGAAGCTGACCTTGGAAAATATGAATGTAAGGCAGATAATGCTTTAGGCTTATCGAGTGGAACTGTAACATTAATGGCTAATCCATTGAAACCAATATTTGAGGATAAGAATCAACCGGCAACGCCAACGACAAAAGTTTTATCATGGCAAACTCAATCTCTATCGCCAATAATTGATTATAGCTTTAAATTTAGACTTGTAAAGACGGGAAATGAAAATTTTCAGCCTAAAGCCAAAAATTATTGGACAACTTTAACAATACCAGCTGATAAAGACACGACTGGTCCGTTTCATACGAAAAGTTATAAACTGGAAGGACTCGGGCCAAGTCGAGTTTATGAGGTGTCTATTCAAGCAAGAAATCAGTATGGTCAGAGTGAGCAGAGCAATATTCTCCAATTCAGTACGCCTGCCGTTTGTAAGTTGAAATTGAAATCAATCTACGAGACTCAGTATATGGAAGTTAATTGAAAACTGTATCTTCTACTAGCTGATTGCACTAACTCAGTGTATGTATGGCAATAGATACATATTTGGCAGTCGTTTGGTGAAATGTGAAAAATATTAAGGGACCAAGTTAATGTTGATGGAATTGACGCATTTTTGGTGTAAAAAAATTTGAGGTTATGTTGAGATTTTTTAAAGCTCAGATTCAGAAAGGATTCTATGAAAAGTATTGGATACTTTGGATAGTCCTAGAAACTTGCTAGATATGTAACAGACCTTTCCATATTCCAAGGCATATTGCAGAAACAAACACTTGCTTATCTTACCATCTAGATTAGAAATATTGAAGTTAAACTTAATTCCAACCTCAAATATTGCTTATCCTGTAAAAATTCCAAGCGGGCAGCAAAATAATCTTCAATTCTAAGAAGCGATTGCTGTAAACAGTTCTCATTATTTACTCATGAAGATGCCAATGACTTTAAAATTGGCACACAAAGTCCACAATAGACAGACAAAATCCAAACATTGCCATCATCGTTCCTCAAAAGCAGCACCCACAAAAATACACCAAACCGCTGTCAAATGAAAAATTCAATTTTCAATTAATTTTTTTTTGCTGCTGTGTCTATTTTTCTGCTATCTTTTTTCCATTTTTATTCTCATTCCTTCTCTCAATCAACAGCTGACATCATCAGTAGTAGTTCATCAACTGAATCAAATGAATATGATAGTCGTTTTGATGACGATCAAGAGAATGAAATTTATCCAGCACCCTTCAATGCGGGCTCGTATTCAACAACCATAGCCACAATGTCATTCACAGTTTTTATCATTTTTTGTCGCATTTTTCTGTAAATAGAACTAAAATAATATTTTTTCATGCGTTGAGCGAATTTTGTGTGCTTTTATTTTTTTGTGTAAAAAAGTGAAAAATCACGATTTTAATTTTTTTTGGAATGAATATTTTCAGCACATATTCGAACACAATTTTGCATGGCTGTGGATAAAAATTTCATAATTGAAACTCAGTCAACTGAGCTTTCTATAATTTGTCACGTGCCAAATGTTGGAAGCATGGAGATTCACAATTCAATTTAGATGTAAAATTGAAAATAATATTTTGTTTGCAGTCAGATTTTCGAGATGTATAAAAGAATTTCTGATGGTTGTAAGGAAGAGATCCGGAAGTCAAATTATTGGTGGAATAAGCGGCTCATTTTTGTGACAATATTTAATGTTGGTTCAAGATATAGAAAACGTTTGTTGCCATAAACAGGTTTAGAATACTAGCAGGTGGCAGTAAAAAACTTGAAAATAACGAAATTGTCAAGCGACAATGCACAATTGTGAAATTTTCGCGATTCCTTGTCGAGATCATAGATTACAGAGAAAGCAAACAGTTTAATGCAGTATAAGGAGTTGCTTTCTTGCAAAACAATCGTTTCTAAGAATTCTACAAGCCTTCCTTTGAAGTACTTTAAGAGATTTCTTCAGATATATTGACAATCTATAATCATCAATACAAATTTATGTGATTCAAGACTTTAGAATTCGTATTTTCAGCTGTAAGATAAGATGTGAGGTATGAATAATAAATTGACAGAAGACTTACCTTCCTACCCCTATTAACCAAAAGGTAGATCAATGTATTCCATGAGAATCTTCCATGGATGATACATATGTAGAACATCCATACATCGGAAGATGATGTCCTTAAAATTGGAAGATAAATGGACAATGCAATAAGACATCAAAGGAATACAAATGGAAAACAAATGGATTACTTTTTTTGGATAAAAACACGTGTTAAATTCCACGTGTTCTTTTGTATTTTTCATTAATTTGTGTAAATTTTTGTAAAAGTATTAGTGTATACTTAATTAAAGTACACTAACACTACGAAAAAGAACAAAAGGACTTAATTTAATTAAGTCGCATACTGATGAACACAAACCTGAGGACGATAAATAATTAATTAAAAGCACCATACAAATACACTTGTGAAGTATATGGCAATTGCCAAATTTAGAACAAATATTATTTTCCTGCAAAAAAATATTTTTTTGATGATTTTTCGTAGGTTTTGAACTTAAGCTGGCTCGGGTTATACTTCGATGGAATACTTCTGTTACAAATTTGTAAAACAAATATTTTCCATATAATATATAATGATACATTTGATCTTCCATTGACGTCGAAGGAAGATTATATGGAACATTTTTGGTTACTAGGTACAGACAGCTTACTCAGGGGCGTAGCCAGAAAATTTTTCAGGGGGGGCCCATTTTCGAAAATTAAAAAACCGTTATTTTGTATCCTTAAATCTATATTCATTCTTCATAAGTTTAAATATTTAATTCATTATTCATACATTAAATTTAATTTTTCGTGCTGATTTTGACATTTCTTTTATCACTTCCTCTACATTAACTGGTTCTTCTCTATAAATAGTTAATAAAACAATTATCAGATTTTCGTAGGGGGGGCCCGGGCCCCCCATGCCCCCCCCCCCCCTGGCTACGCCCCTGAGCTTACTCAACGAATTAAAAGAAAATGAATCAAATTGAAGTTCCGGGAGCTTTTATTAATAAAAAATGAAAATGAAGCGAATTTACAAAGCAGAAAGATGCGAAAATTCAAATTTCAAAAACCCGTTAAATTTTTGGACTTTAAAGAATTCTAAGAACACATTAATTCTCATATTGAAATTCCACCTCAAAGTTAATCAAGTGCTTAGCATGAATTCTCTTCCTAAATTGAATCTCTTATGAGGATTAAATTTCCTCAAAGAAACCAAAATAGCCATATTATCTTCATCTTATTTTTAAGATCCGGTTTCAAGCATAGAGAAATTTTTTTATTTCATAAAAGTACAAACTCGTCTATCCTTTCAATTTCCTTCCACATCGAGAGATTTTCTTCCTTTTCAAGTACATGGAAGGGATGGATAAAAAAGAATGTTTTTATTCCTCAGCGTTTATTGAATAAGTAAATAGGAAATTAAATAATTATTTCGTTGGCAAATTGAATAATTCAAAAAGGGATCGGGGATTGTCTAATTGGAGATTATTAAATATTGATAAAAACCTCTTCAAACTCTTTTTTACCACAAAAAAATATTTCAGATTTAATTGATTGATAAGTTTAGGAACTGTGGTAGAAGCGAGAAATGGCATTTTAATCGCTTAATTGATATTAAACTTTAAAATGAGGAAAGATAGAACAATTGGGGACAAATTTAAAGGATGAGAGCAAAAAAGGTACAGAATTGCTTATAAAAAAAGGGATTGAAAAAGTTATCAGAATTTTATTTTTTGTCCTTTTACAATTATTTCAGCTAAACGTTTGAAAAAGGATGAATAAGATTGGTCACGTGTGATGATAGCGCTTTAGGAAAATAACGGGTTTTAAAAATTTGAATTTTAACGGTTGTAAAATATTTGAATAAAACTGTAATTTTTGAATTTGAATTCAAACTGTCAAAAATTAACGGAAAGTTTCCAGACAGATCTCCAAATTAAAGACAATGACTCCCTTCCTCAAAAATAAAAGTACCAAAAAAGGTACACTCAAAAAAACATTTTCATCTGCCTTAAACAATCCAAAACAGCAATGAAATGCGAAAGGAAGTGGATAAAATGTTTGATAATTTTAAAAGGCCGGAATGTGGAAAGTTACCCATAAAAAGCATCTTCTTCTTGCCAAGATCTACCACAAAAACAAGTGGATAAATTCATTCAATCCGTTGTTATACAGCAATTTACCTTCATATGGCTTATGAGCTTGTTTGCATGTCTGTGAATAACAAACAGAGCCTTTTTCGAAAATTATCTTGTATGACTTAAGGTTCCTGTAATTCTCTTGAGATTGAAATCTTTATCCTTGTAAATCTCATCAGTTACTGTTGCGTACGACATCCATTATTGTTGGAATTGTTTACAATCTGATGACTTTTGGGATGTTTTTAAGATATTTTATGTCAGATAATCAAATTTTGTCACTAATTAGACTGTTATTGATCTTAATTAGTGAACATTCACTTGCTTGAAGCAGAGAAGAAATTCCTTGACTTCCTTAACGCCCTAAACAACCTAAATCTATGACAACGAACTCTAATCTACTAGAAAATTCACAAATAAATATTTTTTTCATATCCTTTAATTCAATTTGAACTAATTCATAATTAACAAAAAAATATCTAATTAATAATTTCCACAGAAACAATAAAAAAAAACAGAAATTAAAAAGGAAAAAATATGTTTTATAAATGTAGATAAAAGATTAATAGAAGTAAAAATCACCAAGTCACAAACTTTTTACCATGCTTGCATTATAACAAAAATAATTAATTTATTCATAGACTTGATCCAATCTATCTTATATGTCTCTCATTTGTCATCACGTGTCTCATTTTAAGCAATTTTCAGAGTTAAAAAAATCTTCAGAATACAAAATCTCAAACAACTCGATTATTGATGGACCATACAAGTCTAGTAATCCGAATCAGAGTTTGAGTCTGATAAACATAAATCCTTTGTGAGCAGCTGTGCTTTTGAATTGTTGTCCAAATGATGATTATTGGTCATTGATGTCGGTGCTGTGTATGAGTAATTTAAACAAAAAGAAAGGAATTCGAAATGTTTAAAATTAAATTACGTACAAGTTTTGCACACAAGTATTAAGTTGCGTACAAGTTTAACGTTCAAGTTTCAAGAAGAGGATTACCACAAAAAGTTGCATACAAGTTTTACGTACAAGTTAAAAACAAGTTTTACGTGCAAGTTGTATCCAAGCTTTAAGTGATATGCATACAAGTTTTACGTACAAGTTGCATACAAGCTTTACGTGCAACTTGTACGTAATTCCATTACACTTAAATCATGTAAAATCCCCAAATATCCACAAATCAACTACCCCAATTAAAAAAATCAATTGCAATCTACAAACCTTTTTTATGATTTGCTATATTCATATTCATGTTCACATTCATATTCATGCTGTTCATCGAATTGCTATTATGATTTGGCATGTGTACGATGTTGTTGCTGTTATTATTGTTCATTGGATGATTGTCAACGCTGTCAGCACTATCATTGCTCGAATCGGAATCGCTATCGTCATCGTTTGAGTCACTCGAAGATTCTGAAGAGCTCAGTACGCCAATCTGTGTGGATGGAAATGTCATTAGTAAGAATATTTTTGTTACATAACAGCATGAAGCATAGATTGGTATCTAGGAAGGCACAAAAAACCCTCCAGCATTACATCTAGCAATAATGCAAAGCAAATGACGTGCAATTACACAGAAAAAATGACTTACATCATCGACTACCATTTGATGTGTTTGTTGGTGCTGTTGCTGCTGATTTTGTATTGCACTTGTCGCTTTTGGCAACACATTTGATGCAGTTGATGGAGTACTTGATATATTATTACTTATGTTACAATTATTATTATTATTAATATTATTATTTTTGTTATTATTATTATTATACATGTTGGACGATGGTTGTTGTTGTTGTTGTGGTGGAGGTTGATTATTGGCAAAATTATTATCATCCAATAAACTCGTTATACTTGGCAATGTAGATGTGTTGTTGTTTGCATTCCATCTATTTTATTTTGAATGAAATATTATTAAGCATTATTTTGATATAAAAGTGAAAGAAAATGAATAAAAGTTGCAACGTAAGTCAGCTAAATATTGTCTCAAGGTGAGCGAACAAAAATGATTTTTTAGTGCATATTCTCGAAGGGAATGGAATGTCATGAATCATAAATTATTTTGATAGCTCATTTAGTGCGATGAAGCTAGCTAAGCTTCGTATGACCTACGTAAAAGTACGTAACTTAACGTAAATACGTAAAAGTTGCACAAGATTCAAATATTTCTTGGCAGTTATTTTTCAAATATTTCTATACCGTTAACTTTCTAGCAGTTTTCTAGTAAATTCAAATTTTTAATGACTGTTGGGTTTCAAATATAATTCGACCGTTAATTCTGAAGTAGAACTGAATTTGTATAAATACAGTCCGTAAGTTTTTAATTCCAAGCTATAAGAAAAGCACTTCTAAGAAGAAAAGTCTGTCATCGTGGAATGTTTTGATGGAAAATTTTCTATTTCAGTTTTTCTTTTCCTAGTCTGACTAATAAGAAGACAACGAAATCAGCTGTGATACATATTTTAATCACCAAGAGACAAATTGCAAAATAATCAATAGAAAATACTCACGGTGGTTGTTGTTGTGGACTTCGATGAGGATGTGGATGATATGAAGGCGAGCCTTGTTGTTGCTGCTGATGAGGAGAATGTTTTGGCACAAAATGAAGGACATTCTTCCTCGATGTTCCAGTCGAAACGCGAGTTTTTGAGCTTTGTCTCGTCGTCTGATTCTCAAGTCCAGATTTAGGTGCAATAATGGCTGGTGGTGGTGCTTGTTGCGGCTGCTTATTAGTCGAATCTGTTCTTGTCTTTTTAACTTGAATATTTCCACACAATTTCTCTAAAATTATCTCATTTGTCTCCCTATTAAAGATTAATACACATTCTTTCTTCGTATAATCACGAGCACTTCCTTTAAATATCGTATTCGGTACACCAGAACCATCTAATCAATCATAATTGGATGTCAAGAACGGAATTAGAATAAAATTGGAGAATTGGATATTAATGAAATTACCTAAATGTGGCACTGTAACAGTGACTTGACTATTAGACCCTGTTTCTAGTGTTGCCTCTTTATGTGCATCAACACTTGCTGGCTTAAAATCATCTGAAATTAAATAATAAGGAAGTTAAAATGTGGCAAATTTTTTGGGACGTAATTGAAATAAAACATATGGAAATTACATTTTAATGTATGGTACGATGCTCTGGCATTTGAATTTGTAAAACTAGCACCTAATTTTAATTCTCTAATCTCCTGTCCACGATCCATTGCTGTTAATTTGCTTCAAATTCTTTGAATTAAATTTTTTTGAATTTTCTTTAAAAATTAAATGATATGAGCACTTTTATAATATACACATAATTTTAAAATGACATTATAAACGCTATAGATCAACACACGCGATTAAAACATTCGTTCTAGGATCTAATTCCATTTAATTGATGTTTTTTTTTTAAAAAAGTTCTACACTTTTTCACTTTCTTTTTTTTGTGATGATGTTCAGAAATTTGATGAAGTTCTTAAAAACTAGAAATTTGAATAAATTTCTACCGTTATACAAAATTGCTTCCTAGAGCACTCAGAGCTTTGCCATCTAGAACAAAAATATGTTATTTCACAAACCAAATCTGTATACCTACTTTTTATTGTCTCAAATTCTCATAAACATTGAATAAATTGCAAAAACTATTGACACATGAGCTACGTTGGAATAACTGTAAAATTCAAAAATTTAAATTAACGGTTTTCAGTCACGAAAGTTGATACACAACAGAATGCTGTTTGATAAGCCTTATCTTATCACGTTTTGACAAAAGCGAACAATAACAGTGCCATGAAATGAATTATTACACATTTTTAAGTATCAAAATGAAAGTACACGGAGATAATTGGAAAGTTTCTGTAATGTTGAGATACAGAAATGATGACAAACATCCAGAATAAACTTCTTTTTAAGAACCAACATTTCTGGGGGGCTTAAAAAACTTTTTATTTTAATTGCAAAATGCTCCATTTTTCTCACCGTCTAGCAAACATTTAATAAGGATGAAGATTCTTTTTTTTTTGGTAGCATTTTACTCAAGGGCGTAGCCAGAAAATTTTTAAGGGGGGGGGCCCATTTTCGAAAATTAAAAAAACCGTTATTTTGTATCCTTAAATCTATATTCATTCTTCATAAGTTTAAATATTTAATTCATTATTCATACATTAAATGTAATTTTTCGTGCTGATTTTGACATTTCTTTCATCACTTCCTCTACATTAACTGGTTCTTCTCTATAAATACTTAATAAAACAATTATCAGATTTTCGTGGGGGGGCCCGGGCCCCCTATGGCCCCCCCCTGGCTACGCCCCTGATTTTACTTCTGCTGCTGTCTTCATGTTAGATCTTTGTCTAGAAACTATGGGGTATTTATGAAAGAAGTTATTTTGACAGTTATTTTTTAAATATTTTTTGACAATTATTTTCCAAATATTTTTTGACAGTTATTTTCCAAATATTTTTTGACAGTTATTTTTCTATATGCGCTCTTATTCTTTAGTAAGTCTTCTACTTCTATTAATAGGTTCTGCATGTGCCTTAAAGCCGTGAAGTAAACTTAATTCAGAAATTTCCGTTCAACTCATGAATTAATAAATTTGCGGAGCGTGTATGAATGCACAAAAACTGCTTTCCTTCCATCTCAATAATTATCTCTAGATTTCATGTCATGTCAGACAATGTAATCTCACGAAAAAGAAGTAAATTAATATTCATAAGGTAAAGTTTTTAATTGCTCGAGTATTATGTTGCTGTTAATGAATTTACATCATTAAAACTTGATGAGTTTTTAAGGTGAGACATCATTCTAATTTAACAATGTCTATTTAAGAAATGTTTTAAATGAGTTTTCATGAAAATTTTTGTTGAAAACTTTTTGGCTTCTAGCGAGAAGGAAGAGCAAAATGAGATCACGAATTTCACTTCATAAATGATGCAATGCATTGTAGTTATTCTCTAAAATTACTTAATTTAGAAAAGTACGGACGTGATGGAAGAACATTTTTGGTTCATTCATTTACCACTTTTGAGGCATGAATTATTTATTGTTTTATAATTTTTTTGGTTCATCTGGAGGTTTAGGAGGTTTCTGTTGAAGGATTCTGACTGATTCAATATTGTATTTAGAAGATGGAGGTAAGTGCGTCTTATGTGAAAAGGATTGGTATCAATAGCTTTAAACTAGACTTTTCATGCTTTAATTTGGATAATAGTGTGATTTAGATTTAGTAGATTGAATTAGCGCATTATGTGAGTGAATCAGCGCACTATTTAAGTGAATTGGCGCATTATCAGGGTGAATTGGCGCATTATATACGTAAATTGGCGCACTATACGAACAAATTCTCGCATTATCTGAGTAAGAATTCGAAATTTCTGCGTGTTTCAGCAGATTTTTTTGTTGTTCAACTATATTAGCACTATCTAAGCAAAAACTATAAAAAATTGATGCCTTTTATGTAAAATTTACGAATACCGAAACTTAAATCGCAAATTTTGAATCAATAGCCTTTACTAAAGTCCTATAAAATAGCAATAAAGAAGCCAACACCCCTAATCCTTATTTGAACACACATTATAAAACACGTGGCTAATGTCCCAATAATAATAACAGTCCATACTAAATTTTAATTACATTAATACTATAAAACTGTAAGGGTTAATATGCGCTGCTGGTCGTCAATACAGCATGGCAAGAATATCATTACACTGAGAAAAAGAGTTGCTTTTTTGAAAAATTACGACTCACAAAAAATAATAAGCAACAGATTGCTTTAATTGCATCACTTTCATTTATTTATTCGCTCGACACACTTCTTCCGTTCGTTCTATTAATTCATTCATACACGCTGGCCAGTTGCATCCTTGTTCATTATACATTTTAATGAAAAAAATCTTTTTTAATGTGCTTCAAAGTTCCAACTTCTCTTCAGCTCCCACGCTTATTCACAGTGTTGAAAGTGCCTCATAATGAGCACCATAAATTGCATAACTTTTTTTTTGCGAAATAAAAATTATTCTTACTTCCACTAGCACTTCCACTCGTTATTCTTTCAAATATCATCAATTTAAATCAAAATGTAATTTTCATCTCTCATAATTTTATTCATTAAATGAACGCTGCTCTCAGTTTCATTCTCGTTTTGCGCGCTTTCTAGCTTTTTGGTGTCCCTTTTTATTTTATATTTATTTTGTCCTCTTAACAATATTGTAAATGTTGTGACAAATTCACATTTTTTGGATTATGGGAGAGTTAAAACAAACGAGAATGAGAGCTTATGAGTTCACTGTGTAGTATTTAAACGTGATGCTGCCTTTCTTCTTGTACTCGGGAGTGTTATTGTTGTAGAATAAGGGTGGTCGAAGAAAGGGGGATTTATATTTTATAGTTTCCAAAAAACTCAAAAGTTTTTAAATTGCTTCCAAAAAGTTTTTAAAATGCTTCCAAAAAGCTTTCATAAAGTTCCCAAAAAATCTTTCAAAAAGCTTGCATTTTGCCATGAATTTTCAAAGAGCTTCAATTTTGCCAAAAAGTTTTAATTTTGACAAAAAGCTTCAATTTTGTCAAAAGCTTCAATTTTCTCAAAAAGTTTCAAATTTGTCAAAAAGCTTCAATTTCGTCAAAAAGCTTTAATTCTGTCAAAAGCTTCAATTTTCTCAAAAATCTTCAAATTTGTCAAAAAGCTTCAAATTTGTCAAAAAGCTTCAAATTTGTCAAAAAGCTTCAATTTCGTCAAAAAGCTTTAATTCTGTCAAAAGCTTCAATTTTCTCAAAAATCTTCAAATTTGTCAAAAAGCTTCAAATTTGTCAAAAAACTTCAATTTTGTCAAAAGCTTCAATTTTGTCAAAAAAACTTCAATTTTGTCAAAAAGCTTCAATTTTGTCAAAAAGCTTTGATTTTGTCTAAAAGCTTAAATTTGGTAAAAAAGCTTCAATTTTTTCAAAAAGCTTCAAAATTGTCAAAAAGCTTTAATTTCGTCAAAAAGCTTTAATTCTCTCAAAAGCTTCAATTTTCTCAAAAAAGTTTCAAATTTGTCAAAAAGCTTCAATTTTCTCAAAAATCTTCAAATTTGTCAAAAAGCTTCAATTTTGTCAAAAATCTTTGATTTTGTCTAAAAGCTTTAATTTGGTAAAAAAGCTTCAATTTTTTCAAAAAGCTTCAAATTTGTCAAAATGCTTAAATTTTGTCAAAAAGCTTTAATTTTGTCAAAAAGCTTTGATTTTGTCTAAAAGCTTTAATTTGGTAAAAAAGCTTCAATTTTGTCAAAAAGCTTTATTATTTTATGTCTTCAAATTTCAGCAATACCCACGCTATCCACACCCATCCTAAAACCGTCCATCCAATATTATTTTTATTACATTCTCGCTTTCGCTGTTAATAAAATATATAAAGCACCAACGGCATGGGTTCATTTTTCTTTCCGTATTTCTCCTCATTTTCCATGAACTTCATCTCGGTTCTCTTCCTTCCTTCTTAACTGGCTTTTATGCTACGAAAATTTATTATGTGAAGAAAAAAATTATTTTTCATTAATTCCCTAGTTTTTCTCTCTATTCGAATCGGAACTAAAGCTTTGAGTGATGGCTGTGTTATTCACGTAGTAAACGCTTGCTTGGCGTCAGCAATTTTATAATATCTTTCCTAGTTCTCCACTTTTTTTCAAATCACTCCATTCACACGATGTGTCACGATTTGTTGAAAAAGCTTTTTTATAATCCCCTCCTTTTTTTGTTCTGTTACTTTATGTACTCATCGTTTAGTGGAGAATGGAAGCTCTGCACAATCAATAGAATTGTAAAAGTCATTTTTTAAAATATGTTCCGATTCTTTTCCTTCTACTGTCAATAACTCTTTCAATCACACCAGATGTGACTCAATATCCATCTACATTTTCTTTTAAGTTGGTCGGAGAAGGATGGGAATTGAAGTTATGACAATGGCTTTATTTTGTCTGGAAGACATTGAGTCATTATTGTTAGATTTCCTCTATACTTGGAAGTATGAATTAGGAGCCAAGTCTTCCTCTAAACTGTATGTTGTAGAATCAGTCATCCCTAAACTTGTTAATTTTGGTAAGTCCCTTCTCTAACCTTTTATGTCAAAGAATATCCAAAACCCCTCAAATTTTAAATGCGTCATACACAACTTCCTTACTTGTTCTCCCAAAAAGTACTCCCCACATCCCGTATCTTTCTGTACATCCTCAACAAACAAGGCAAAATGACAAATGCTTTTCAAAAAAAAAAAACATAAAATGGTAGAAATGGCAGAGAGAAACAATAGAAGAACATGACACACGAAGAATAGTGAGAATTGCTTTATTATTATGACACTTACGTTCCTGCTTTTGTTATACTTGCAATTTTAATGTTTGTATTCATTTAAAGTGACTTTTGTCATGCTTTAATTTGTATATTTTGACATGATGAGTTGTACTAAGAATGATTATCACCAAAGACCCTCGCTAGGCCACAGAAGTTGTTATGTTAAAGTGATATATGAAGCTATTTAGAATGTTTATAAACTGATCATGAAAATCGAATAATAAATCATGATAAACAAAAAATTATGACACATTCCAAGGTCAGCGAAAAGAATCTCGTCGTGTTTGTTTAAAATTAAATTGATTCAAATTGAATCAATTTATGTCCTCAAAATGTGTCTTATTATTTAACTTCCGTGCTGATATCTGACGAACTCCTAATGCGGTAAGTGATCAAGTAGTTGTTCTCTATTTCATCCAGAAGCTGTATTTTAGGGCTAATCGGGGATAACCTACGGGGTCGTTCATTTATTTCGTTTGCTTTTTAATCAAGATTGATTGATTTTCGATTCTAGGAAGTCAAACAAGACTATTATAAAAAACCAAACTTTAGTAACCGTTCTCTTTGGAATAGAGACTTTAAGACACAAGTGTTTTATGAGAACATAATGAAATATGATGTTCAGGGGCGTAGCCAGGAATTTATAGAAGGGGGGGGGGGGGGGGGGGTTCAGAAAAATTCACTGGAAATTTCTGTGAACGTAGGGGCATTTGTCACCCAAATCTCACCCCTCTCCTATTGGATGTCTATCGGTTTATTTGGAGAAGACTCAAAAAACTTCCAAACAAATCCACATGCCCTCCCCAAACAGCACAGAAGTTCTCTCTTCCGAAAAATGTGTAAATTAATTTTTTAATTTTTTCTTCATTTCAGCATTCATTTGCCTTTTTTCTTTCAAGCACGCGGGTGATCATCTCTTCATTCTAAAAATAATAACGCTCAGAGATGCAAAATTAAGGCTGTTATCTAAGAAAATTAAGAAATATTTTTTAAATTTCTCCAAGGAGGATTATTGTTTAAATAAAAGTGAAAGGAATCGTTTGAAATTTGACGTTGTGGGATTCGAACTTGGCAATCAGTTGCATTTATTAAGACATTTAGAAGTAAGTTGCTAGATGCTCAATATGGTGAAATTGTGAACTATTGAAAATAATTGCTTAGGAAGTGACATTAATTTATTACTTAAAAAAAGAATAACTTGAAAAATGTGGAATCAACTCAGAAACTATTTTAATTAGAAACGCCTGGAATTCTTAGTGATAACTTGTAATTCATTTGAAATAATTTATGATGCTTTTACTCACAGTATGAGAATATCAGCTGTGGATCATATGAGAAATTGTTTCATTTTCTCACAACTGAATATTCATTTTGTGCTACATACATGATCAAATCTTCAAAAGGTCAATTAATGGATGTCAATTTTCATGTTTCAGATTTGAAATTGAATTTGAAATTACCAAAAATATTTATTTTAATTATCAAACTAATTGATAGAAGTCAACTATCATTTAAACTATGGGCTGTGAGGAACATCCATTAATGACGTCTATGAGAAATTAAAATATATCTACGTACTATCTTAAACCCCTTCTTGCTATTAACTTAAATATTGACAGTCAATTTCAGAAAGTCTTAAATTGCGGAAGTCCTCAAAACTACAAACCACAGATCAATGATCAATTCCATTGCTTACAAGCATTCGATTCAATAACAACATTAAGCTTATCAAAGTTTATTACACAAACAGCACAGCAATGTAATGTCAATGTTACGCATTCTGCCTCATTAATTCTCGTTTTTAAATATTCATTTCTATTTCTTGTCCTCAATTATTCTATTTGTTCGTCGATTTTCTTCGCTAAAAATAAAGTGACGGATGATTATGAAAGCCTTAGTCATTCACAAAAACACACAATAATAATAATAGGAAAAGTAAATGAAAATCTTGTTTGACGATCGAATAGAAAATTTTCAAGAAAAATCACGTGAATTTTTCATTCAAGGCTATCGTCAAGCGAGTTTGTTTGAGGAAAATGGAAAGGAAATTGAGTTTTGTGCGTTCAAAGACAAAAAGCAAGCTCAGAAACTAAAGTGCTCTGTGCGAGACAATTTTATGGATGGCAATAAGTATATTTTACAGTTTGAAGTGTGATTGTAAGTTTAAGACATATCGACTAGGTTTTGCTTAATCAAGAACTATATCTTCGTCTAAAAAGTGATTCTAGACTGGGAAGTAGCACATTTTCGCGAAATATTGAGTATTTTGGACACAAAATGTGGATTGTTGACCTAGGACATGATTACGACTGTCAAAAATTGATAAACTTTTGATAATCAAAACCATAAATTATCACGAAATAAAGTTCGAGTAAACAACGAGCAGTGCTAAACGAATATGCCACAAATTGAATGACTTATCACTTATGCATTGCCTTATTTATCTTTGTTTTATAATTATCAAAGACTCGGCAAGATCGACAAAATTAAAAACTTTTTTTCTCTAATTTTATTGAAATTTTGCTAGACTTTAGAAAACAAAAATCACAATCTTTCTTTTACAAACAAACGTCAATAATTATATCACTAAATCCTTATCTAATCCACAAAACCTCTTTCATTAATTTCTACATTTTTTTGTAGACAATCCAGTCACTTTTTGGGAATCAATACGAGTAAATTCACATCAAAATGGCAAAATCAAATGAACCAAAAAATTTTACTACCGTCAATAAGCTCTGCTGCTGCCTTAGCTTAAAAACTGGAATGACAATTGTCGGATGGATTAAGTTTGTACTTTCTGCCCTTGCTGTTGCTGTTGGATTTGCTCAAATTATTGCTTATCTTATTGATGAAAGTTTAGACTACCTTAACATCAATGTTCCAGATTTAGGAATCATTAGTAAGGATAAGTTTTAGATGGAATTGATTTTTTGAATAATTTTGGATATCTTTTTTCAGCTTTCTCAGTTCTAATCATAGTATTTAATGCTTTGAATGCATATGTATTCTATATCTTCATCCAGGGAATCAAGCTTGTAAGTATCCTTATAGAATTCAATTAGTTGTAACTTAGGATCGATCAAGAAAATTCATAGTTTATATTCGAATCATCTGAATGACACAATGCCTAGAATTCAGCAAATCCAGCTAGGTGTAAGCCTAAAGCCAACCAAGTGCAACTTTATTGCTATTTTCTATTCCGAGTGTTATTCGGAAACATGTTTTAAATGCTAGAGTCATGAATTTACAACTCGTCAAGGATTCACGAGTTAATTTAACTATCTTAATCAATATTAAAGGTTTATAAGAACTGATCCTGATTTAAACATAGTTCCAAAGATCAGATCCACATTTATAATATTATCAATTAATTAATTATTAATCAAACTTCCTTCATTTAATATTTTTAGGAAATCGATTCGAAAATCCTTCCATATTTGATTCTTAATGGAGTTTACATCTTCTTCGTCCTCTTCGCTACCGTTGCAGCGATGAATGTTTACATGCTAATTGGATTACTGATCTACATATACATTTACATTTGTGCATTTAACCTATACTCAATCTTTTCAAGTATATCAACTGAATATAATGTTGTTTAAAGTCAAAATTATCGTCTAAAAGACACCTCAAGTGAATCTAGCCAATTTAATTGTCAATTTTTATTGGATATGCTCTAAAATAAACATTATGCTGTATAAAATTTAAATAAAATGATGAATTATTGCAAAGATTATTTAATTATGGACTTATTCTAATAGATTTAATGGAATTGATTTATTGTTTCCAGAGATCGAAGCCGATTTTTTCGGCTTAACTCAATTTTTGATTTTTTTGATAGAAAAAAGCCATTTAACACCCATTTTAAGTATTTAAATTGAACTTTACATGCTTTACTATCATTCTGTGAAATATTTTTTCAGCATGTAGCTATAGTAAGCTCTGAATTTCAATTTAGCCGATTTTAAGCCGATCGGCTTAAATTTCGGCTTAACATTCTTTAACTTGAAATTCTGAGCTCACTGCTGAAAAAATATTTCACAGAATCATAGTAAAGCATGTAAAGTTCAATTTAAATACTTAAAATGGGTGTTAAATGGCTTTTTTCTATCAAAAAAATCAAAAATTGAGTTAAGCCGAAAAAATCGGCTTCGATCTCTGATTGTTTCAGTCATTTCCCGCCAAAAAAGATCTCGCTCTAGAAGTTAAGTCAGCAAAGTATTATTAATTTCCAACAAATATTCATGAACTTACTTCTTATATTAGCAAGGTCAACGAATGTGTTTCATTTGAAATAACAATCACATTCAAAAAGAGTTGTGCGCAGTCGCTGATATGAAGTTACACTGTCGGATTCACTGAACTGGATTATCATTAATTTATGAATCTTAATTCAGATAAAAAACATAAATTTGAAAGATTGAAATTTTATAAAATTTAAGAAATTTGAAAAAGATTCAAAAAGTAAATCCAACCTTAAGAATTATCCTCTTCAGTGAAAAACAAAAATCCTTAAAGGACAACAAAGTCTCGCGTTGATTACATCACAAAGGAAACAAAATTCTGTAAAAATCATTTAAAGTTGTTAACTGAGTGTCAATTTACAGTAAAAACATCATCAGTGCATGAACATTTGAAGATTCAATCAAGCGACAAAGTTTTTACCTCATTAAAAGCTACAAAAATTAGAGTTTTGAAGAAAAAAAGATAAAGTTGAAAATGAAGGAACCGCTAGAACCAAAAAATTTTGATACCGTTCATCTACTTTGCGGGCCTCTTGGTTTAAAGCGATCGATGCTTGCTTTTGTTGGAATTAAGCTTGTTCTTGCGATTCTTGGAATATTTTTACCGATACTTCAAATCATCTTAATTCTTGTATGCAAGGAATATACTTATCTAGATCCAGGCATTAAAAATTTGACTCCAATTAGTAAGAATCTTTTGTTTTTGTTTATCTTTGTTGATTAACTTTGTCTGTTTGTTGACAGCTTTTTGTGTTTTACTGATTATCTTTAACACGGTCAATGCAATTGTGTTCTTCTTCTTTGTTCAAGCAGTTAGAAAGGTAAGATTTGAGTTAAAGTGAATGCAAAAGTGTTGTTTGATATTGAAATTTAGATCTGAAGTTGTTTACCAAGTGCTTAGTCCGAATCCAACACTATTAACTTCTATTAATCCACAGGAACATGCAGCTAGTGTCCTACCATATCTCGTCCTTAATGGAGTTTATATAATCTTCTATACCTTCATCACCGTAGCAGCTATGTCACCATTTATGTTCCTCGGCTTATTATTTTATCTTTATATCTATTTGTGTGCATTTTCTTTGTATACAATTTTTTCAGATGCCGAACAGCATCATGCTGTTTAGAAATGCTGATGTTATTTGGAATAAAATATCAATTTATTAAAATTAGGTGGGCCCACCACCACGTGGGATAAGGTGATCGGGATAAGAAATAGGAACGAGTATGATATAAATATTGGAGACTAATCAATAAAATGAGAATTGAAATTTGTGTAGTTAAAATGTTGATCTATTTTATGGTTGAAATTTGGTCATGTCAAGGGGAAAACAACATGATGGGAAATTTCATATTGATTTCCTATCAAAAAATTTGATCATATTTATATGAATTTAGATCGTTCCTATTCATGATGAGAAAATCATTAAATTTTCCCATTACGTTGTTGTCCCCTTGGGAGATTTCCAAAACAAAATTAATTATTTTTCAGAATTTTTCGACACAAATTCACTCTAAAATCTCCAAATTCACACAAATCAGTCGAATATTCAGCATAACAAAACAGCCAATAACTCCATCTCTCCCATCCAATCTATTCAAAAATTTGACAAAAATTATTTTATCAAACATACAAGACAGCTTGCGTAACAAGACACGACACAAAATAGTTGACGACTTTTAACATCAATTTGCATCAAAGTGACACAAATAAACCTTATTTGTTCTGAAAAATGATCCGCAGAGAGAATTTTAAAATCATTTTTAACCAGTGTTGCATTCTGGCCATTTGTCTGGATCAGATAAATTCTGAGACAGAAATTTCTTCATAAAATCGATTCTACATGTAGAAAGAAAAAAACCATCTACATGTAGATTGTGTCTACATGTAGAATCTGTCTACATGTAGATTTAATGTAGATGTCTACGATTCTACATTCTTCTCTGATGTAGACCTGGAAAAAATGTAGAATTATAGACATCTACATCGAATCTACATGTAGACAGATTCTACATGTAGACACAATCTACATGTAGATGGTTTTTTTCTTTCTACATGAAGAATCGATCTTTATGAAGAAAGTTTCTTAGCTAGACAAAAACTATTGAAGAATCTACATTCTTCATCTAGTATAGACATCTACATTTGCAACACTGTTTTTAACAACAAAGCGTTCCTTTTGTCACATCCTATTGACATTTATATGCATCCTCATGTACAGTATGTAGCTATTTACGCTATTAAATTCGACAGGAGTGATAACCCGGAAAACGCATACATGCCACCATTCATTTATACTTTATGTGACAATCACATGTATGTAAATGTATATTGGGTGACATATGGAACTGTAAAGTTGGAATGAGTGAGTGAATTTTTGTGGATATGGAGGTTTTTTTAATGTGACATACGACAAAAATATATTTTTTTTATGAAAAATGTCGAAATAAATTTTTCAAACTTTTCAGAATCACTTGTAAAATGGTTAAAGGACATGTGAAGCGCTGAGTACTTGAGTGCATATGACAATTGGAGCATTTTCGCAGAGATTGATGTGGAATGTTCAGTCATTGACCTTTTGTAATATAATAACTTTTTACATAGTTGGGACTGAGAGGTTAGAGCCAGGAATGTAGCAAAATCAAGTACATAACCTCAAATCATACACAACAAAACAACCCACAAATCCGTTACTAAGTGTCAGTCACCCAACCAAATCCAAATTGACATCAAAATCGCAAATCTATCCGCATAAAAAGTTACCAAAATTTTTTTTAATGGGATAATTTTTTTTTGTGTTATAAATATTATCATGCATAACATTGTGCTTTAACATACATACACACACGCAAATTATTAATAAGTGTAATTCAATTTTTTTTGTTGCTTCTTCGCTAACGATTTTTAAAAGCTTTTTATTTCATTCTCAAGCCTCCCTCATTTTTTTTTTATATTTCATTTGTGCTTGGTTAAAAAGCCTAGTCAGAATGAGCTCAATTTTAACTTGAATCACGTTCAATGAATAAATCAATGCCGTTTAATATTTATATGCTAATTTATGAACATTAACATTGTTTGGATACGAGAGAGACTTTGTGTGTGTATGTGCAATGGAAAGAGAAAGTGAAACTGTCGAAAAGGACGAGTTTTAGAAAAGTTTATGAAAATTCAATCTGGATAGGATGTGGAGCAGTTGTAAAAGGGAACCATAAATTAATGGGATTTTTTAAATATATTATTTTAAGCTTCCAAGACTATCAAATCTTAGATTTTGTGGCTCCAACAATAAAGACTCGGTAATCCTCTTGTGAGCTGAAGTGGCTCGTTGGCAGAATGGTTTAGTACTTCGGTACATAATTATTGCAATACCGACACAGCGATCATGGGTTCGAGACTCGGTATTGGAAATTTTTTACTTGTCCTTTTTCGAATCATATGTACTGGAAATGAGGCTCACAGCCTTCCTTTGGAGGCTACAGGCAGAAATGTCATCAGAGGAGTGGTTCGGATCCCACTGTAAACTGTAGGTCTAGGTTTGAGCGGGAGGTCTAGCGAACCCTCTCTCGTTAAACTATCATTAGCCTTGTAACGCATAAAACGCGCAGCTATGGATCTCTAAGGTCTGAATGCTGAAGTTTATTTTTTTTTGATCCTAGAGTAGACTTGTTCTTGGTTAGACTTTGTTCTTTACTGGACCTAAATCTTATGATTCTAGGTTAGACCTGAAGATGATTTAAGGCTTGGCATGATCTAATGTTCGACCTGATCTTAATTTAGAAATCAACTTTGAACAGGCTTGGTATTAGATCACACCCAAGTTTATGACCTCATCTAAGGAAGGCCTTGGATTGCAGTTGAGCTGGATGAACATCAAAGGAACCTGAATTGCCCTGAAAGAACCTTCATTCCTGTCACAAAGATTTGCCTAGCGTTAGATATATTCTGTTTTAGAATTCCAGGCAAGTAACTTAGTCACAGACATCTAATAACTACATCTACAGTCGATATCTTATATGTTTGACGTCATAACTGAAAGATTCAACCCAGAGAGTTATTTTTATTCTAGACAAGAATTCTAATCATGCTTGTGTACACCACATGTTGATACACAAGCTACCCAAAATTAAAAAAATTTTATAATTTCATCTCAGAAAATGTAAAATTTAATTTTCTACGAACATAATTTGTGATGATTTACTTAAAGAAGAAAGCCAGCTTAAATAAATGCCTAAGTTGCTTAATAAAAAGAATCGCGAAGACGTAACAAAGCGTGTTAAGATGAAGAAGAGATGTATATGATGCGGCATTTGAAGCATAGAGTGAATATAAAAAACATTTTTAATGTTACAATTTTAAATTTGATCACATTTAATGTTGTCATGTCCTCTGTGACATTTTCTTGATATCTAGTTCATCTCGTTATACTTTTCTTTACAATTCGCATAAGAGTGAGCGTGTTTTGTCATATTTCAGTCAGTTGACGATCTCAGATTTGGAATAATGTGATTTATTTTTGTGTATGCAGATGACATGTTTTTTGTGTACTTTACGGTTAAAGTTAAAGATCTTATTAAAGTTTATGATGTGAGTATTTTCAATGCTTTTCGTTAGATTGGAACGGAAATATGAGGACAATGAGCTTATAGCATTACAAATTAAAGTAAGAGAGTCTTAAATGAAATGAAATAGACTAAGTATAAGGACGTCTTAAAAAAAAGCTAATGTTTGAGAATGGAATCAAGACACTACATTTGGAAAACAATCAAAAAAACCTCAATATCCAGTTCAACATTTCAAAAAATCTGCGCTATAGTTATTTCTAGGTTAGCATAATCAAATGGACTCAGTTTTAATGATGGTCATAAAAAATGCAGATTGAAATGAATCTTTTGACTAATAAATTATCCGGTAATGTAACATCCAACCAATCTTCAAATACGTTTCAATTAAATTATTCAAATTCAGACGGAATAGCTTCTATCGAGAGATTTTTAAAAGACTGAAAGAATTGAAAATTAAACTTTCAAATATTTGATCAAAATTAAATCAAGTCAAATTTGCATTCCTCAACTAGAGACCAGCTCTTTAATCTTCTCCGAGTGCAAGCAGCCTTGCAATTAAGCTCTTGATTTGCTTTGACTAATTAGCTACCTTTAAAATAACTTTTTCATTCATTTAAAAATCCTTAATTTTGTGAATTAAAACTCAGTCAATTAGCAAGAATTGAAAACTTTACTTACCTTCTTATGATCACAACTTTTAATCCTTTCCTTAAATTTTGTTACTTCAATTAGTTTTCAACCTTGTCAAAATCATTCAGCAGTCTACGGATTAATATACAACAACAATCTTCCAGTTTCTATTGAAAAGAGCTTTCAGCTTTTGTTGGACATGAAAAAATTGTAAAGTTTAATTAACAAGATAAAAACTTCCTTTCTTGTTCTTATTTCCGTTCAAAAGCCCTTCAATTCATTAGTTATAATTATAAATTTTCTACATTAAACATCAGATGAAGGCTTTTCTTGTAATTATAAGGAATAAGAAGAAGGAAAAAAAAGAAACTAATTCAAGTATAAACACGAGAAACTAATTTATTTTACTCTACAAATTAACATCAAAGACTGTAGCATGGTTGATGAGAGTCAGGACTACGAGGCAAAAAAGAGGAGAAAAAAAAAATTCATAATTTCTTTTAGAATTAATCAAGACAATATGCCTCTGACTTTTCTATATGAGGCACAAGAAGGACAATTTAATCTTCTTTTACTTTTGGATGGAAGTTTGCTGGAAGGTAAGAGTCGTTCATGTAGGATGATCAGGTAAGCGCATTTTTTGGATTAGATTTGGAAAAAAATTTCAACAAAAGACGTAATTAAGAAATTTTTAAATGCAATTTTGCAATTTGATAGCTTTGGAGTTAGAAATCATAAATTTCAGTTGAACTGGATTGTTTCTGCCATATTTTTGAATCAATATGAGTTCTTCAAGTGTTCATTAATCGCAAATTAAGCTTTTAATCTTAAATTAAAATCTTTTTGTGAGAAATCAAAAATGGAGCCAAAATTTTTTATGAATTCAAAATTTTCTGTGATTAACGGATTTAGTTGTTGGTAAATATATAAGGAG